TTAATTCCACTGAAACATAACAAGCAAATCTAACGCCTTGCCTACATGAGCATCCTTATCCGATTAAAGGCAGCTAGGGTGTTCTTGTGTCTTTTCTTCTCTGGTCTACATATCCATATTTATTTCAGCTCCTCCTCATAACCCATTGAATCCAGTCTCTTTACAGCCCTGGTAACTCTGTTGGTCTCTTGTCAAGATTCTGCAGCACACACAAAAATCACTTACAGTCATGTTGTCCTCAAATACATCCACCATACACTTTCAAAGCAATTTACCTCCAACCCATAGTTTAATAATTGACTTCATTAGTGTTCATCTCTTAAAGAATTAAATCCTACCTCCTTAATCATAATGTATAAGATCTTTCTTAACCAGAATCACTTATTTTTTCATGTTAATGCGCTTCTCAGATAGCTTTCTGTAGTAATTCTGAGCAAATTATACTCCCCTTCACGACCTGCGTGGTTTTGCAGCTGCTGTTGCAGCTTTCTAAGACATCTTCTATCCCTCCCCTCAGTTTTTCTGCTTCAACCTCCTTTTGAATGATTTCCATATGGACTTCTAATGTAAGCCAAATATTATGTGCAGGAAGGATGGCCTGAACCACAAGCTTTACATTCAGTGTGTTTTCTTGGCAGTCATATAGGGCCTTCTCTATTATCTCTCTTTCAGGCATTGAAGCAGTCTTTTTATACATGTCTTCCCAACTAAAGTCTTCAAAGATGGGCATCATACTTTACTTATTTTTATATGCCTCATCTCTAGAACAATGTCTAGTGTATAGCAGACACTCAGCAAGTACTTAATATATTGAAAAACTGAACACAGTTAGCCTACATCAGCAATTCTTTCAGAAATACTACAGTTATAAGGAGTGTCAGTGGCAATTTTCCTCTTAAATTAGGCATATGGCAAGTTAAATAGAGGTGCTGTAAAGCAGTATTTTGAGAAATGCTTTCTTGTTCAGAAAATAATATGCACTATAGAGAATTAAGCTTATTATACTCTGTGTTCTCTGATCTTTAGGTGTGCTTTAACTTCATTTTTAATTTTCGAGAGCATTCATGTGAGCTAAGGTGCCGCATTGAAGTTGGAAGACATTAATGCTTTCTCACTCCTCCAATAAACAGAAGAAATTTTGAAATCTGTCAAAATCAGATTTACAGCATGGCTCATACCCTACCTAATAAATGCTAAAAGCATCTTGCAGTTCAGAAATTAATTACATACATACCTTGGATATATATTACAGGTTTGGTTGCAGACCACTAGAGCAAATATTGAAATCAAGCAAGTTAAACATTGTTTTTGGTTTTCCAGTACATATAAACATCTCGTTTACACTATACCATAGTGTAGTAAGTATGAAATAGCATTATGCTATTTAAAAAAGTACAAAAAAGTGCATACCTTAATTTAAAATATTTTATTGTATAAAATAACACTGAAGATATCTGAGCCTTCAGCAAGTTGTAATCTTTTTCGCTGGTGGAGGGTCTTGTCTTGACCTGGATGGCTACTGACTGATGGGGGGTGGTAGTTGTTGAAAGCTGGGGTAGCTGTGGCAATTGCTTAAAATAAGAAAACAATGAAGTTTGCTGTATCAGTTGATCTTCCTTTCAGAGAGTATTTCTCTGCAGCATGTGATGCTGTTTGGTAGCATTTACCTATCATGGAATGTCTTTCAAAATTGGAATCAATCCTCTTAAAACATGCTACCGCTTTATTAACTGAGTTTACATAATTTTCTAATTTTTGTTGTGGTTTCAATAATATTCATAGCATCTTCACCAAAAGTAGATTTCATCTCAATTAACTACCTTCTTTGCTCATGTATAAGAAGGAGATCCCTATTTGTTCAAGTTTTGTCAGGAAATTGCAGCAATTCGATCCCATCTTAGGGCTTTGCTTCTAATTTCGGTTCTCTTGTTATTTCCACTGCTCTGCAGTTACTTTCTCCATTGAAATCTTGAGGCCCTCAAAGTCATCCATGAGGGTTGGAATAACTTCTTCCAAATTCCTGTTAATGTTGATATTTTGACATCCTCCCATGAATCACAAATGTTCTTAATGGCGTCTAAAATGATAAATCCTTTCCATAAGGTTTCCAATTTACTTTGTCAAGAATTGTCATATAAATCACTATCTTGGTAGCTATAGCCTTACAAAATGTATTTCTTAAATAATAAGACTTGAAAGTCAAAACTACTTTTTTGATCCATGATCTTCAGAATGGATGTTGTATTGGTAGTCATGAAAACAAAATTCATTTCCTTAAAGATCTCCATCTAAGCTCTTGGGTGACTAGATGTATTGTCAATGATCAGTAATGTTTGGAAAGAATTTCTTTTCCTAAGCAGTGGGTCTCGACAGTAGATTTAAAATATTTAGTAAACCATGCTGTAAAAAGATGTGCTGTCATCCAGGCTTTGTTGTTCCATTTTTAAAGCAACAGACAGATAGATTTAGCAAAATTATTAAGGGCTCCAGGATTATTATAATGGTTATTGAACATTGGCTTTAATTTCAAATTACCGGTTGTACCAGCCTCTACTACGAGAGTCAGATTATTTTTTGAAGCTTTGAAGCGGCATTAACTTCTCCTTTCTAGCCATGAATGTTCTTGATGGCATCTTCTTCCAATAGAAGGCTGTTCTTTAAACATTTAAAATCTGTTGTTTAGTGTAGCCACCTTCATCAATGATCTTATTTAGATCTTTTTGATAATTTGCTGCAGATTCTACATAAGTTCTCCCTGCTTTACTTTACACTTCAATGTTGTGGAGATGACTTCTTTTCTTAAACGTCATGAACCAACCTCTGCTAATTCACATTTTTCTTCTGCAGTTTCCTTGCTTCTTTCCACCATCATAGAATTGAAGACAGCCAGGACCATATTCCGGATTAGTTTTTGGCTTAAAGGAATGTGTGTGGATGGTTTTATCTTCTATGCAGACCACTACAATTTCTCTATAACCACAATAAGACTCATTGCTTTTTAATCCTTCCTGTCTTCACCGGAATAGCACTTTCTATTTCCTTCAAGAACTCCTCCTTTGCATTCACAACTTGGCTGTTTGGCATGAGAGGCCTAGCTTTTGGACTGTCTTGGCTTTAGGTATGCCTTCTTCACTAAGTTTAATCATTTCTAGCTTTTAATTAAAAGTTAAGAGATGTGTGGCACTCTTTCATTTGAACAGTTAGAGGCCATTGTAGGATTATTAATTGACTTAATTTCAATATTGTTGTATCTCAGGGAATAGGAAAGGCTCAAGGAGCAAGAGACAGATGGGGTAATAGCTGGTTAGTGAAGCAGTGAGGGCACACAACGTTTATTAAGTTTATAATTTTATATGAATGCAGTTCATTGTGACCCAAAATAATTTCAATAGTATCATCAAGTATCACTGTTCATAGATCACTCTAACAGATATAATATTAATGAAAAAGTTTGAAATATTACAAAACTTACCAAAATGGGTCACAAAGTGAGGATTTACTGTTGTAAAAATGATGCTGATGAACTTGGTTGACACAGGGTTGCAACAAACATTCAATTTGTAAAACATGCAATAGGCTTGAAGTACAACAAAGTGAAGAGACATAAAATAAAGTATACCCGTACTAACAGATACAGAGGAGTGTGGAGTAATATAAATGCAAGTGATCTAGCACTAAAATAGCATACAGACTGCTACAGTATCAAATAACCAGCTTGTCAAAATAATAGCTTGTTATGTTAGGATACATATCCCTTTACTGGCTTTTCACAATGAACAAGGGGAGAACTTTCTCTGGAATGGGGATTTCAAGGGGCTAACAATATAGCCGTCTATTTTCAGCCATTGCTTGAAATGGCTTCTGTTTGGTTCTGGGCCAGAATAAAATGTGACAAACATTTTGTGTATTGTGCCTTTTGATTAGCAAAATCATTTCCCATAAAATGTTCTATTTAAAATTGGTAAGACTATATAATGATAATTATGTTACCAAGATGACCTGGTTCAAACATCAATCTACAACTTTCTAACTATGTTAATTTGGACAAATTTCTTCATGTCTCTATGCTTTCTGTTTTCTCATATGTAAAACAGATTACTATTCTTTAGACATTTTGTATTCTCAATGTGTAAGCATTGAGAATAATATGTATCAAATGGTCACATTTAAAAATGTTAATGATTGTTAAGAATGAAATCACATGTCAGAAAGAATTTCACATAATATAAATCCATGTATCTACTGTTACCTAAAGATTTAAACACATGCATTTTCTGTTTTGCTATTAATTTTCTTGGAATTTTCAGTCCGATTGCTTCATAGAGGGAAATATCCACTATTATCAAATATGTCAGATAATAAAAAAGATAAAGAGACATCATTAACCAAAGTCACTGTTTTTTTTTTTTTAATGTGTCCTGATACATAGTAAAACAACAATGAAACAAATAAGCAATGAAATAGAACAATGATCCCTTTATATGTGTTTGAGGAAAATATTTTAGTGTAGTTACCAAATTCTCAGTTACACAAAATTTGCCTTTTGTTTCCATGATGTTATTTTTCTATCTCTGGAAACAAAGATGCTACCTCTGTTTTGGCTCGGGTCCTCTGTAGAATTTTCCAGGTGCTTCTCTCAACCCTATTTCCACAGCCATAACCACTGTTAAGGAATTTTTTTACTGCTTGAAAAAGTTTTAATATTCAGCAGGTTAAGGAAACTCATGGTCAGCTTTAGAATTTTAGTCTCTGCTGAGCTTTCAAGATGTCAAGACCCTAAAATAATATGAACAGCAGGAGTATTAAATCTTTTATTATTTCCAGTTTCCCCTTGAGCATACTGACTTTGCAATAAAGAAGCTGTCATTTACACTCTTCTTTATTGCAAGGTGGGTAATAGCTACAGGAAGAAAAATAAGGAACTGTGTCAAGTTAGCCTAAGTGTCATTATGATTAATGTGTAATCATTGCACATTTGCATCTACTCTTTTCATATACAGGTACTTCATAGATTGGAAGAGTGATGGGGACAGCTACTTCACAATAGATGGAAATGAAGGAACCATCGCCACTAATGAATTACTAGACAGAGAAAACACTGCACAGTATAATTTCTCCATAATTGCGAGTAAAGTTAGTAAGTATGGCATGGACAAAATCAATGTTATACTGCAGTTCTTTGGATTTAAGTCTCCTAAACGAGTCCCTGCTGAGATGTTTTTCATTTTTGGACTGACAGCTGAGTGGTCTCGCGGGGAAACTCAGAAACCTGTTCCTTTTCCTCACAGCATAAGTCCAGAGAAATTGTGACAGCTGCCAATGAGTCCTGTTTCCAGGATTGCATGAATATCTAGTAGTGCATTTCATTGTGTGACCCCATCCTTTTTCATGCTTTACCCTCAAAAATTCAACCGAGTTTTAATTTCTCTTCCACACAGGATCCTTTTACGTATCATTGTGAATTTCACAGGGCCAGGTGAGGGGAAATAAATATCATAGAAAATCACTCATTCTGAAATATTTTCTGGCATCAGAGTATTTAAAAACTCATGCGTCTTCCTACTCTCTATTCAAATTTATTTTTAACGACCATCACCGTGGAATATACAGGAGTTTCAATTTCAGTTCTTCAAGGAGTGGCTCAAAATGTTTACTATTATTAGGACTTACTTTTTGACTCAGTATCTGCTTGGTTCAGAATAGATTCCTCTAGACAGAGTGATTATAGATTTTATTTGTTTGACAAAATAATCAAGATTATTATCACAACTTTCTCAGGTAGTGAATCAGGGTGGGAATGGTGATGTTTGGCTCTTTACATGGTTGTTTTAAATAGAAGTGCATCTCCCCATAGTTCTACTTAGGGGCTCTTGAAAGGTTTGGAGAAAATCTCGTCCGAATCTCTTCCGTTTGCTTCCTCCTTATTTTATGTCGTGAATCTGGTGCAAATTTATAACACTTTAGCAGCTAATTCCATCTTTCCATCCAGGGAATATCTGTGAGTATTTCTGCTGAAGGGTTTTGATCAGTCCGATTCAGTGAGGATGTAAACATGAAACCGTTTCGTTTATCTTCAACACCTCCTTACAAACGTGAACAATCAGATACCCTTTTTCACGCCTTATTGACATCTTTAGCTGATCCCAATACTTTTATTTTCATTATTAAAAGTAAGTCTAACATAAAAGATCATGCAGCTTCTGCCTTGCTTATTGGAACAGTTAGAGCTCTGAAGTGTCAGGTAAAAAGTCTGACTACCCAGAGGGAGCCACACTGGCAAGGTCACATTGTGGTGCTCAGTTTGACAACTTCAGCTAAGCTCTGCCTTCCAGCAAGACCTGCCAGTGTGCTGGAAATGTGAATGATGCTGTCTTGGAACCCCTAGTCCAGTCCACTTTAGTAGCGGAATACCACAATGTAAACTTCATCAATGCCAAGTGAAATGAAATATTAATGCAGCCAAATCCTACCCAAATTCTTACCCACAAAACTGTAATAAATATGAAAATATATTTATCACAATTTTACAATATTTTACAATTATTAAAAGCAACTACATTTTGTTGTCCACTGATACATGGCAATAGATATCTAAAGAACTCAAAGACAACATAATTAGAACTTTTATTCCTTAGGGGTGGGGGTTTAGCTTCTCCAGTTTCTTGCAATAGAAAGGAAAGAGGTAAATTTTAAAAATGCACAAATTTATTGATATGGTGCTGATATAGTGCTCCATTGGTAGCCACTTTTTTTTTTTTTTTTTTTTAAGACAGAGTTTTGCTCTGTCACCCAGGCTGGGGTACAGTGGGGCGATCTCAACTCACTGCAACCTCTGCCTTCTTGGTTCAAACGATTCTCCTGCCTCAGCCCCAGCAAGTACCTGGAATTACAGGCTCCTGCCACCGCTCCTGGTTAAGTTTTGTACTTTTAGTAGAGACGGGGTTTCACTATCTTGGCCATGCTGGTATTGAACTCCTGACTTCAGGTGATCGGCCCACCTCAGCCTCCCAAAGTGCTAGGATTACAGGCGTGAGTCATCACACCTGGCCTGATTGCCACTATTTTTAGGGCTAAAATGGAATGGCAGTAAAAGCAGTTGTCCAAATGCTAATTCTCATGTAATTTTGTGAATTATTTGCTGTTGGGGGGCTCTGGGTGTCCCATCTGCATGAGAGTCTGCCCTGGGCACCCAGGTGTAGACCTTACAGTTTCTTAATTCTAGGACCCCCTTGCTTGGCAGGCAGCCTTTTTGGGTGAATTGATAGCCTGATTCCTCAATTTTAGCTCCATTCTCCTATGTGCAGTTGACCATGAGGAAATTCACACATCCTGACAACATTAAAACAGGTGCATATGGCTGCTACTCCATTGCAGGTTTTCTCTGCCTTGCCATCTTCTTTCATATCTGACCTCTTTGTGCAGTTAGGCTTGGAAAGGCCAGCGAGTCAGCTATCCAGCAGACATATTATAGGGAGAAAAGAATGCCAGTCTCCCCTTCTTGAAGGACTCCCCATCCTCATTCTCCTTGTTTTCCCCAAGTCTCCTTTCAAGCCTGGCATCTGTCTCCCTTCCCACGCCACATCCTATTACAGTTGCATATGTTTTTACTCACTCATTTTATGCTTTCATTTATACAGAATTTGGGGACAGCTAAACTATATCATAATTTTAAAAATCAACTTTAGTTTTCTAAGATCTTTGAGCGATAAGGTGAAAATGAGTTGTCTGAGTTACAGTATATAAGATCTCTGTGAACCATGTTGCTTTCGCTCCAATGGCAGGGTTACAATAAGTGGCAATTGACTAGAGGTAGTTGACTTTCAATAACTTCTTCTTATCATAAACATATTGTCTAAAATAAAAGATTATTCAGTAGAAAATGATCTAACTTACACTTTCCTATGAATACACCACAAAACAGGTGGCTATTTCCTTGATGTAAGGATAGTAAGCCCTTGTGCCTTAACTCTAGATGGATGTCTCAGATAGTTTATTGATTGCTTCTACTGTCGCCGTGGCAGGTCTCTTTCTTTCCAATGGCTCCTTGGGCTGTCAAAGCAATTATCATAGTATGAAGGCACCTGTAGCAATGAGGTATAGTAACTCCTTTCACAGCCTTGAGCTTCAACTATTTAGAAAATGGAAGCGAGTATGAACCTTTACAGTGGAAGCAAGTGTCATTGGTCCCTGAAAGTTTAGATCTTAGAATCCTAATTTGTTAGTTATCAATACGACTGGTGCGTATGCAAGCTCTGTCACACTGTCACCTGCTGCCTCCAGTTTTTACTTAAATGAAAATTAGGATTCCACAGGGTATGGGCTCTAATAAGTTATATTACCCCTCACTGTGTCATAGGCAGAACTGAGACTTAGAGAAATAAGCAAAATATATGCACAATCTAAGAGTGATGCCAAACTAATGTTCTTAAAATGGACTTCTGGTTCATTCCAGTATCTACTCAATGACCAATGCAAAGATTTTAGCTCTGTCAAGGAAGTCTGGTGTGACAAAGACTATATAGCTGTATGAAAAATAAAGAGGCTAAACACATATCCTGTGGTAATTAAAGATTCTATATGAAGAATAGGTAATCATGGGTTTTTTATTTTGTTTGAATGCACTGCTTAAAAGTAAATTTTATTTGTATTCTAATGCCTAAGACTGTTTTCATTGATCAAACTAGCCAGCTGAGCAGGGAATATAATCATCATGAATAAATGAGAAATGAATAGCCCACACTTGCCCTGCCAAGAAGAATGAAATTGCTTAAGTATACCTTATTGCAGATTGAACTGGCATATGTTTTGGTTCTGACCCTTTTATAAAAACTCTCAGGTGATGACTGAACAACTTCCAATTAATTAAAAAGCAGTCATTAATCAGTGTTGCTATTGTTGGAGGTCCAAATAATTTTATTAGATTTCTATTAATTCTTTTATGCATTACTGCTTTGCTGTTTTTATTACATTGACCTTGAGTATTTTTAATGAGACAGAGACTCCAAACTTTACTTCATTCAAATTATCAGAAAGTTTTAACTGGCAAACGTTTCTGGGATTTTTGTGTTACCTTAACAAACATCATTAAGTAAAGGTAACTAGTTAGACAGGTGGCCTGTAACCCAGTCCCAACTATTCAGGAGGCTGAGGTGGGAGGATCACTTCAGGCCAGAATTCAAGACCAGTCTGAGCAACATAGTGAGACCTCGGTCTCAAAAAAGAAAAACAAAATAACCAAAGGAAAAAGAAAGTGAATAAAGATAACTAAACATAACTTCACTAAATCCTTAGAATATATTTTATATGATTATAAAATGAAAAGATGATACTAGAGACAATTCTTTTCTTGATCCTATTAGTTATCCAAATGGTAATGAATCGGTTCCATTTATTGTGGAATAAGTTTAAAAAAAAAAAAAAACAACAGTGAGTTGCCTTACTAAATGCTATATTGAAAAAAGTTTACATACAACTGTATCATTATGAGTTGTAAATAAGTTGTTAGATAATTAATTTTTAAGGTTATCTTCTACATGGAGCTACTTTTTAAAATTTCACATAGAGTAATATCATCCTCATATGTACAAAAAATCAAATTTCAAGATTGTTATCTATAATTCACATTCAATGTAAATTCATGCATTTTTGATATCACTTGTATAGAGCACTATCTATGAGCAAAACATTATTTGTTGTGAGTAAGGAGAAAATTGATTAGGACTGATGTCCATTCTCACGGACATTACAATTTAGGAGTAGTTATAAATTGACCAGATTGATGAATTTTGGTAAGTAATAACTATGCAAATTATGCTGAATTCCAGGGAAATTAGCTTTAAGTGAGCTGTCACATAAACTGCAGAGAGCGGTCACAGAAGGTTATGATTTACCACAGTATGATCATGAAGAATTTAAACCAAAAAATATAGATTTTTCTAACAAAATTTTCTGTAGCATTTTTTTTTGGCTTATATGCCATAGTTATGAAATGATATTATCAGACCATATGAGAAGTGAGTACCTAATTTTTGTTAGAATAAAATTAACAATAGAATAAAGTAATAAACTCTTTTAATAGCTTTAACTCATCTGATTCTTTCAGTACACCTACAAAGTGAGTGCTCTTGTTCACATTGT